TTGAAGAAACACAGGACGAGTTGGAGTTATCCTTTATGTGCCAGCGTGTACTAAGATTTGCCAACAGGGATGACACAGAGGAGTTATCAAGTGGGCACCCCCCTTCATCAGCGTTTCGTCGATTTAAGCCCACAAAATCATTTGAAGAAATGTCCTATATATTTAAAGAAATGTCTTCTTTTGGTTTAAAAAAATATATACATTTTCACAATTGTTGGTTAATGTATTGTCTACTGTCACTTTTCATCATGTTTTTAGTGATTAGGAAAATATTTAGCAAATAAATAATTGTATTTTAAATTAAATATAATTTTTAATAAACGTTGGCATCAGTAGTTTAATTATATATTCTAAAATAATTAGAGCAATATACAACTGTATTACTCATGTTTATCGACAAAAACTACATTTCCCTTTTCTTTACGTTACACTTGAACGCATCATGATAACCTAATTGTCGTTTTACTGAGCCATTCTGAACACATCATCACACAGCAATTCCTTATGACTAGATTTTGTATATAATTTTGTATATTGAAGTGGACATGTTAAGAGCAATTTGAAAGAAGAAATATAAGATATGATAAAAATACATTTTTGTGTTTATTTGATTCCTATTCGAGACACTTAAGATAAGAATAAAATAAGAATAACTATAGTCTTACTATAGGCGGCTACAGATTTGTTTGACATTTTTGGTTGGTGGTGTGCCTCGTGATTTTTTTTCTATGAAAAAATGTACCTTGGCTCAAAAAAGGTTGAAAAACTCTGTCCTAGACGATAGCCGCCCGGGTCCAGGAGTCGCTGGCCAAGGCCAACCAGGTTGCCACGGAGACCTTCTCCTGCATGAAGACGGTGAGGAGCTTCGCCAACGAGGACGGCGAGACGGAAAAATACCGGCGGCGCCTGGAGGACACGTACGGCCTCAAGAAGCAGGAGGCAGTGGCCTACGCAGCCTCCACCTGCGCTAACAGCGTGAGTGGGACGCTTTGTTTATCTAACTTTAACTTTTATTTATTCAGGTATTATTGTATTATTAAAACTATTAAGTATGTATGATCTCTGTCTCTCTCTCCAAATATATATAAATATATATATATATACAGTGGGGGAAATAAGTATTTGACCCCTTGCTGATTTTGCAGGTTTGCCCACTTACAAAGAATGCTTATTTTTCCTCATCATATTATCAATTTTTATAAATTCATATGATTTGATTTTCTGGAATTTTCTTTGGGATTCTGTCTTTCACTGTTAGAATGTACATGTGATTAAAGTTATAGATCGTTGCATTCTTTGTAAGTGGGCAAACTGGCAAAATCAGCAAGGGGTCAAATACTTATTTCCCCCACTGTATATATATACTGTACATATACATATATCTATATATATATAGATATCTATCATATCCGTCATACCATATCTATCTATGATATATCTATATATATGTATATATATAATATTATATATGGAGAGAGAGATAGATATCATATATACCTAATAGTTTTAATAATATGATAATACTGCCTATCTATCTATCTATCTATCTATCTATCTATCTATCTATCTATCTATCTATCTATCTATCTATCTATCTATCTATCTATCTATCCATCTACTGTACCTACACATATATTTGTATTTAATGTTTATCTATCGATCTATCTACACATATGTTTGTATTTTATGTTTATCTATCTATCTATCTATCTATCTATCTATCTATCTATCTATCTATCTATCTATCTATCTATCTATCTATC